CATGGATATTATCCTATCACTTATAGCATTGTAGCTCATGACTGATCTGGATATGTTATTTTTGGCGATGAATGCAACACCATTCCTTTTCAATTTATCATTCCCTGCATAGTAACCCATGTGGTTGTCAGATTCAAAATGGCCAATACCAGTCCTTTTCAGCTCACTAATGCCTAAGATTATACCAGGTAAAAATTAGATTACAAATTGGAAGATTCTGGTAAAAAATAATTCATATTCTGCTAAAGAAAGTGCTGGTGTCCTGGTATGGCATTGTGGGTTAATGCGCCATACTACAAAGCTATTTGAACTACAAGGTTGGTGGTTCAAGCTCACCATTCACTACTTGGAAACCTTATACAGGGATGCTGTGGCTCTAAACAACAGCACTTCAAAACAACAGCAAAGAAAGTGCTATCAGTAATACTATCCTGTTCTTTCTGCATCCATCAGAGGCTGAGTGCTCTATATCTGTTACACAACAGGTGCTGTAAAAGTGAATGAGTGTAATGTATCTATGAATGTCTTGCCTGTAGATTTTGGGGTTCATTACCCTGTGTATCTTGTGAGCTGGTAAGTTACCATTTTACCTGCTAATCTTGAATGGGTCAACCTCCGCAGGCTGTGAATCAGCAGCCTGCTGGCTGACCTGCTGATCTTGGTGTCATCAGTACTTATGGCAACATAAGTTGGGAGTAACTCCAGTCTAATGTCTATTCCATAGAGTTGGAACTGGCCAGCTTCTACAACCATCATTCATCTGTGTGACTCATATAGATAACATTGCATTGAATGGGAATTCCAGAATACTTCATTGTTCTTATGTGGAACCTGTATATAGACCAATAGGTAGTTATTTGAATTGAGCAAAGAGATATTGTATGGTTTAAAAATTAGGAAAGGTATGTGTCATTGTTGAATCCTTTTACTGTACTTATTCAATCTGGATGTTAAGCAAATAATTCAATTAACTGGACTATATGAAGAATATTTTGTATCTGGGTTAATTAACAACCTGTAATCTGCAGGTGACACAACTTTGCTTTCAAAAAATGAGGAGGACTTGAAGACCAATGGATTACACCTCAACATTAAACCAAAAACCAAACCCACTGCCAGAAAGTTCATTCTGATTGTTAGCGACTCTATGTAGGGTTTCCAAGGCTGCATATCTTTATGGAAGCAGAAAGCTTCATCTTTCTCCCAAAGAGTGGTTGCTGGATTTGAACTGCTGACCTTGTGGTTAGCAGCCCAACTCATAACCATTACGCCTCCAGGGCTCCTTACACCTCAATAGTAAGGAAACAAAAATTCTCACAACTGGACCAATAATCATCACCATGATAAACTGAGAAAATATTGAGTTGTCAGGAAGTTTATTCTACTTGACCATCAACAATCTTGACAGTCTCCACAATCAATGTTTATGG